GCTCTCATTACTAAGTGGTGCATGCCTCTTAATCTTAAACTGCACCCCAGAACCATCCTGTGCCACCACCTTCAAATTAATATGGTAGCTGTGCTCAGGCTTGACGCCTTCCTTGGGCTTTCCTCTGTCATGATGAGCTCCACTTCACAAAAGAGGTACTGGGACCAGCAGTTAGCGTAATGGCTATGTGGCTGGACTCCCATGTAGTCGACAGCGGTTCATGTCCTGGACCCGGTGGCTTAAAACTCATGCCAGGCGCGTGTGCGTGTGTGCCTAAGATCCCGAGAGGAGAACAGAGGAGAAGGGATTGTGGCGTGGCCATTCCCCTGGGGGGGTGATTTCTCACTTTCTCTCTGTCTCTGTCTGGCGAATACATGCACCCTATAACAAAAATCCTCTTCCAAAAAAAATAAAAAAAGAGGTACCAGGTCCTCATTGAAGGTTCTCACAGGCAGCACCAGGAGTGGCAGAACTGGTTTTTTTTTTAAGAGAGATTTTTGCTAAAGGGCACGTGCCCTTGCCCTAGGGACAGAAAGCGAGAAATCACCCCCAGGGGGGATGGCCAGGCCACAATCCCTTCTCCTCCATTCTCCTCTCGGGATCTTAGGCACGCACGCACATGTGCCCTGTACTGCTTGGGAGTCCAGCACCGTAACCATTACGCCATGGGCTGGTCCAAGGGTATGAAGTTTGTAACAAGGTGCCTGTCTTGATTACTGTTCCAGCCAAGGTGCCACCAGCTGATGCTCGTTGTTTTATTTTTGAGTTTTTGCAGTTCTTTGTACAGTCTTTCTACAAGTTCTTTCCTAGATACATAATTTGCAAATATTTTCTCCCAGTTGTGGTTTGTTTTTTCATTCTCTTAACAGTGGCTCTCGAAAAGCAGGCAGTATTAATGAATTATCTGAGTCATCTGATGAGCGGCCTTTTTCTTTTATGGGTCTTTCAGTTACCTTTATGGGCATGAGTGCATGTGCAGTCAGTTGAAACACTCATTTATTGGCTGCTAACTGAAAGTGTAAATTTAGTATAGGAAAGGCAATTTAGAGGTGTCAGCGAACAATCTATGAAAGTATAGATTTTATTAAACCCAAAGACCATCTTTTGTTACATGGTGACTTTAAAGGAGGTATAAAGAAGAATTGACAAATTAGGATAATATTACTTTTCATTACTGTTGAAATCATGGATTTAGACAGTGATCGTTAGTGACTGCTAGAATTATAAAAAAGGGACAGGTCCAACAGGTGGCATGGAGGTTAAGGCAGCTGTATCCCACATGGCCGTTGCACCACTGAAGTCCTATACTGGTGACTTGAAAAGCACACTGCCAGACAGTGTGCATGTGTGCCCAGCATCTTGAGGGGAGAATGGAGGAGAAGGAATTGCAACATGGCCATCCCCCCTGTCTCCAGGGAGTGATTTCTCACTTTACCTCTCTCTCTCTCACGGACACACATACCTGTAGCAAACTAAAAGCAAAACAAAACAAAACAAACAAACAAACAAACAAAAAACAAGAGAGGAATACCAGACATTGTGTGTTCCTTATAGAAATACCCAGTACAATCTATGAATAAGCCTTGCCAGAGAAAAAAACTCAAAGACGAATCTAATCAAGCCCCTAGAACTACCTACCTCCTTACTGGAAATATGGGGCACAGAATGTAGTAAATGGCATGTTGGGGTCCAGTCGGCAAGAATCTAGACTAGAGGTAATCCTGCAGGATGAACCACCCCGTGTTTTCAACAGTCAGATTGCAAAAGAGGGAAAAGGGATAGATGGAGAGATGAAGGACGACAACTCTAGAGGAATTCTGAAGTACACACCAATGATCAATGATTAATGCATACATGTTATTTCAATCATGATTTTAAAAGGAAGTTTGTACCCTGGCTCTATGTTGTATGATGTTATTAGGAAAAATTTTACTTGGGGTAGTGGTTATATTTATTTAAAAAATAATCCTTTTAGAGATACATAATAGAATATTTATGAACCTTATTACAGGAGGTCTAGGATTTGACTCAAAATATTCAGAGAAAGAGAGGGAATAGAGGTTTGAGTGAAACAAGATTGTCTAAAAGATAATAGTTGTTGAAGGTGGGAAGTGGCCACATGGGAGTTCATAATACTGTTTTTATAGCTTTGTGTATGTCTGAAATTGGTTGCAATAAAGATTTAAAGGCCAATTGTGGTATGGTGGTTCAGGCTACTGGATTCATGGCCAACTGTGCAGATCAAGGCTCAGACCTTAAACTTGAAAAGTACAGTGAGCACGTGTGTGTATGTCTGAAATCCCAAGAGGAGAATGAAGAAGGGATTGCAGTGTGGTCATTCCTCTTAGGGGTGCTTTCTCACTTGCTTCCTCCCAATCCCCATTTCTCCAGTGAGTGCGTGCTCCCTGTAGCAAAAGTGACCCCTCAAAAAAACCCAACAGCAACAAAACAAAAAAATAGAGAACAAAAGTAAGAGACACTGAAATTAAAAGAAGTGGTATCGATGTAGATCACCAAGTTTTTAAGGTACAGATGATCTCCATTAAATCTCAGAAGAAAAAGCAGTACTGGAACATGGTCAGAGGAAGAGATCCTCCTTCGATGAGGTTTTTCAGGTCTTCGTAGCCATAGCGTCATGAGTGTTTAGTAAGTCAATGGCATGCTGATGCAAAAGCCATGTCCTATTTGTCTAATTCTCCAGCATCTGGCTCAGTACCTGTCTTAGCAGTAAATATTGAATTAAGTGAATTAAACAAGCAAGAAAAAAAATCTTCTACATATGAAACAGATGTGTTTTTGTTCTGTTCACTTTTTCTCCGAAGAGAGTCAATTTTATCAAGGACCGAGTGTATATTTGGATTTGTGTAATCAAGAGCCCTGGCATGTTTCAAAGAAAATGAACAAAATAAAGCATAACATTCCACAAGAGCTTTCAACTGCAGAAATTCCATTTGCTTTTGGATTATTATTATAATGTTTTTGCAGTTACTAACCTGATAGATGAAGGAAGTCCCTTGTTAATTAAATGTAGGACTCTCCGGGAAACTTTGATTGTTCCCCTTGTGAATGTGAAGTCAGGAAGTGAGCTCTGATTAGTTTAGATTAGATCTTGGCCTAATTTACTGAAAAATAGTTAAGAGGTTGGAATAGATGGCTCAGTAGTCCTTTCAAACTGGAGTGTGTCAAGTTCTTTTATTTGTTTATTATGAAATAAAAAGCTGGTAAATACTGCCACCTAGGGAGGAACAGTAGAACTTGTTATGGTGTTAGGTATAGATTTTTGAATGATACTATTGAATATTTAAAGTATAGAAAACTTGCCATCTAAATGACATTTTTGTGGAATTCTTGGATTTAATCATTGTCTCTCCAATTTGAATTTTGTAGATGCCAGATTTCAGTTTGCTTAAAAGGTCAAGCATATGGAAGATGTGAATGAGACTATCTCATTAAGCTTTTTGTTTCTTGTTGAAGGAAGTGTGAGAACTTGGAATGGAGGATAATGACGTTATAACATTTAAAGCCTGGAAGGTACCTAAAACATGATCCAGATTAGCACTGTAGGGTTATCTCAACTCTGAATTCAGTGTTGGCTCTCACATGAGACGAAACTATCAGTTGACTCTAGAAAGCTCCAGAACCAGTCCTTCTTCGTTTTTTAAAGCTGGGTCATATTCCATGTGTGTCTGTACCACGTTTTCCTTATTCATCCAGTCACTGATGGGTACTTGGGCTGCTTCTACCTTTTAGCAACTGTGAATGATGCTACTAGGAACACAGATATACAAATTAGTGTATAGTGGAGAGAAGAGAACTGGGGTAACTACTCATTTCTGTGGATGTATTAGTCAAGCATTAGTCAAGGTTTTTTTTTTGTTTGTTTTCTTTCTTTCTTTCTTTCTTTTTTAGATTTTTACTATAGAGCCTGTGCACTTGCTGGAGAAACAGACAGATAGAAAGTGAGAAATCACCCCCAAGGGGGGATGTCCATGCCACAATCCCTTCTCCTCCAGTCTCCTCTCAGGATTTTGGGCATGCATGCATACAGACCCAGTGTGCATTTTAAGCTTCTGGGGCCAGGACTTGAACCACAGGAGTTCAGTGACATAAGCTTTACGCCATCCACTGGTTCCTAATTCAATCTTTTAAAAAGCTACAGATGAGGCAACTTTCTTAAGTGAACTCTTGTACTTTGCAAAGGGAACCAGGAGAAGGTGACCTTCATTGGTGACTCCAGGAGGAAAGAGATGTCTTAGTGAGCTGGTCTCACAAGTGGAGCTTATGTTTTTAAGTACCATTACATCATGGAGCAGAGTCAATATTTAATATTGCAAATGTAAGTTGTAAAACTGAAATTCTGCACCAATTAAACACTGTCTCCTCGATGCCCTTGCTCTCGCCAACCCCTGACAGTCACCCTTTAACTTTCTATCCTATGAGTTTGGTTACTTGCATACCCCATATAAATGAAATTATTTGTCCTTTTGTAATGGGCTTATTTCAGGTTAGTGTAGTGGCCTCAGGTTTCATCCATGTTGTAGCCTAGGTCAGAGTTTCCTTTCATGTTTTTATCCTCCACCCCTTTATTCAAGGTAGAGTGCATGCATGTGCACCTGAGAAAGAGAGAGGAAGACAGAGAGATAAGTATCCTTCACAGGTCTGGTCATGCCATGATCCCCTTCCTTGGATCCTGAGTACTCAGACATGTGCCCTGCATTTTTGATGTTGACTGGGCCAGGGGTTCGAACTACAATCACCGTATGGGCTTCTCTTGAGTTGTGATTACCACGAGGCTGCAGAACCAGTCTTCCTTTTTAAAGCTGAATGATATTCCATTGTGTGTCTGTACCACATTTTCCTTATTCATTCAGTCACCGATAGATACTTGGGTTGCTTCCACCTTTTAGCAACTTGTGAATAATGCTACTAGGAACATAGATCTACAAATCAGTGGAATTCATTTTGATAGAAGTTTATAAAATACTTTATTTTTTTTCTAGGTGGTTGGTTCTGGCTATTGCCATGGTACGTTTTTATATGGAAAAAGGAACACACAAAGGTTTATATAAAAGTATTCAGAAGACACTTAAATTTTTCCAGACATTTGCCTTGCTTGAGGTAAGTTTTTTCTTATGCTGTCTGTTCATTAATTTATTTGTTTTGATTCTGCTATAGGGTATGTAATACTCACCCCAGAGCAACAGAGAGAAGGAAAGTAAGAAAGCATTCCCCAAGGGGACGGCCATGTGACAATCCCTTCGTCATTTCTCATCTTGGGATTCTTGGCATATACCACAGATACACCCAGCATGGTTTTCAAGCCACTGGGCCTGGGACTTGAACCACATGGTCTGCCTTGGGATCCAGCCATTTTACCCTCTATGCTACCAACCAGCCCCTCATCATGGTGTTTTTCTATCATAATATTAATTTGAGTTTTTTTTTTTGGGTTGAGCAAATTCAGTATTATTTTGCTGATTACACACCACCAAAGCATTTGTTTAATACCAGCATTGACGAATATTTTATGTTTTATATTATTGACGTGTGGTTTTTTTATTTGCTTACAGATAGTCCACTGTTTAATTGGTGAGTGTTTGCTGTAATTTTATTTTTGGATTAAAAATTGCCTTTAGGGCAATAGTTGACTTGTTTTTCTCTTTAAGGAATTGTACCTACTTCTGTGCTTGTGACTGGGGTCCAAGTGAGTTCAAGAATCTTTATGGTGTGGCTCATTACGCACAGTATAAAACCAGTAAGTAATGCAGACATGTTACCTACTAAGCCTGTAGGAAAAATTTCATTACTAGAATATGAAATATACATGTGTATATTTGTCAATGTATGTAATATACATTTGTATACTTCAGGAAGCAAACCCACTGGACAAAAGGAATTGGGTTTGAATTTAAGTATAATTGTACATTGACTTAGTGCTTCAGTAGAATGACTTTGAAACACGTGCAAAAATCAAATATTGGCATCTTGAAATCTATAGTATCTTCTCTTCTGATGTCTTTGATTTTTAAAATTAATATTCATATTCTGTCAAATAACTATCTGATAGTTTCCTTCTTTGTAGACTTTTTCTATCAAAGTTATTATTTTATGTCATTGAAGTCAGTATAAGTAATGTATTTTTCTCACTTAGCACTGAGTACTGTAGCAACAGGCATAAGTAAAGTAATATACTTATATAGCTCTGAAAAAATGACAAAGACTACATGAGAAGTTAGAAGGGACCCATGGATGCACACTTCCGATTGGACAGGAGGAATCAATTTGAGACCCACTGCACTGCGTGGTGACTGTAGTTATTAATAGTAACGGTGTATTCTTGCAGAATTGCTAACAGAGTAGATCTTAGGGGTGCTCACCAAAAATAAATGTAGGTGTGCTTATACATGTTATTCTGCTTGATTTAGCCATTCCTCAGTGTAGACAGACTTCAGAACACCTTGTTACATACCATAAATGTGTATAATTTTGTCAGTTAAAAAACAATTTTTAAAAAGTTGGGGTTAAGGGAGTTAGGGAAAAACAAAGATACTATTTATTGAGGCATGACAGAAGACAGCTAATAATCAAATCTAATTAAAGGCTGAAACCTTTTAGGGAAGACAAGCACTCTGCTGACTTTGTCAAGATGCTGGACCTTTTAAACCCAAGACAGAAACATTTCCCAGCTCAGCCTTCTCTGACCTGCCTGACAACCTTCGTAGTCTCCTGTCTATGTGAGGACAGATCTCTGGCCTCCTTTCCATTCCTCGGATGCCTTTCTTGTCTCCTCTCTGGTGGGGACTGACACCTCACCTCTTCTTCATTTCCTCTTAGCTTCACTGGCCTCCGAGCTGCATGAGGACAGATCGCTGACATGCTGCCCTCTTGCTGCTCTACCTGTTAGCCCTCATGGCTAGCGTCTTTCACTCAACTTCCTAGGTCTACCTGGTCCCTAACCAAGGCCTGCCGTATGCACAGCAATGAGTCTATGCTACATATACCAAGAGCAAGTCTGCTTATGAATTAAGATCACGCCCTAGATTGAAAGCAGGAGTACCACATTAACCACAGAAGAAAGTCTATGCCAGACAGCGAAGGACTGTGATAGCTGGGCAAGACCACAGAGTCTGAAGAATGAGGGAGGAGAAGCATGGCCCGTATTAACTAGAGAGAAGACATAAAGGGAAGCTGGAGAGTGGAGAGTTCCAAAGAGTTCCATCTGCTCTTTTTTATCCTCCAGGAGGTCTTTGCCTTAATTTTACTCTTATTTTTCTCCACCAGTGGTTTCCCATTGGCACTCATTCGCCTCTCCTTAAGTAATTCAGCCAACAGTTACTGAATGCATTCTATACAATTGGCACAGTGCTAATTTCTGGATTTATAAACACGAGTAAGGCTTTGCCAGCTCGTAAGCGGTCTGGCAGGAAGTGAGAGTAGCCACATGAAAGTTGAATCATTTACCAGCTATCAGCTGCACACCTGTCCCTCTCCTGCGCCTGACACTGTGCGTGGGACAGCACTGTTAACAGAACATGTGTGGTTCCTGTCGGGTGGAGCCCAGTTTTTTTTTTTGTTTGTTTGTTTGTTTGTTTTGCTAGAGGGTGCATGTGTTTGCCAGAGAGAAAGGGAGGGTGAGAAAACAGCCCCACACTGCAGTCTCTTTTCCTCCATTTTCCTCTTGGGATTGCAGACACACATGCATAAGCATTCAGCATGTTTTTCAAGCCGCTGGGTCTGGGACTCAGACTGCACTGTCAGCCCTGGGATCCTAGCTACCTTACTGACCATGCCATCAGCTGGCCCCTGGAGTCCATAATTGAGAAACTAAACATGTAGTTACACAAATACTGATTTAGTTATGTTAGTGTTAGGTGCCTTAAAGAGTCCAGTATGCATTGCATGTGTGAGGGGACTTCAAAATGTTTATGGAAAAGTGGAATTAAAAGTACGAGTTTATTTTAGTGCAAAAAAATTGAAATCCATTTATAGGTTTTTCATAATATACATTTTTTTTTTTTTTGGAGAAGTTTTTGCTAAAGGGTACATGTGCTCACGAGAAAGACAGAGAGAGACGTAGAGATAGAAAGTGTCAAACCACCCCCCCAGGGGAGATGGCCACTCTGCAATCCCTTCTCCTCTATTCTCTTCTTGGGATCATGGGCATGCACACACATGTGCCCGGCAGGAGTTCACGCCACCAAGTCCAGGACTTGAACCGCAGTTGACTACATGGAAATCTGGCGATATAGCCATTATGCTAACTGCTGGTCCCCATAATATGCATTTTTTAATGAACATTTTGTAAACACTTTGTACCTTGGACTTAGGTTGATCTAGGGCACAAGGGAAGATTTTCCAAAGGAGTTACATTGAATGCTAATCGATGTGCAGGAGTTAGCCAGACAAGGTTTTTTTTCTTTAGATTTTTGCCATAGGGTGTCTGTGTTCACCAGAAAGAGACAGAGAGAGAGGTAAAGTGAGAAATCACCCCCTAGGAGGGATGGTCACACCACAATACGATCTCTACTCTCTTATCAGGATTTTGGGCACCTGTGCCCAGCATGTTTTTCAAGCCACAGTGTCTGGGACTCGAACTGTGCTGTTAGCCATTCGAGATCCAAGGCTTTACCCACCATGCCCAACCTTCCTGGCCCTGACCAATTTTAATTCAGATTGGCAAATGTTAAGATACAGATATGCACAAAATATTATGAGATGAGGAAGATAAGTAAATAACTGCTCAGGGTAAGAGGAGAGGCTTAGGTAAAGTTTTCCAGGGTGTGATTCTTCAGCTGCATCTTAAAAGATGTTAGAAAGGATTTTCTATGGGAAGCAATAGGGAGTAAGTTAGAGGGAGTGGCATGTGTAAAGATGCAAAAGTTCAGTGCATATTCTGGAAATAACACAGGGTCTAGTGTAACTGAGAGAGAAATAGCTAGCAGGGTTGAGTGATTGTAGATGAAATTGGAGAAATTTCTGTGCTCACACTGTAAAGGACTTTGAATATTGTGCTCACATGTTCAGATGTATCCTTTTGTCCCGTTAAACAGTGGGGTACAGGACCAGCAGGTGGCGTGGTGGCTAAGGCACTGGACACTCCCACATGGCCGACCAGGGTTTGAGTCCTGAATCTGGTGGCTTGCTTTCTCACTTCCTTTCTCTCTCACTCTCACCCTCTGTCTCTCTCTCTGGTCAAATTAAGAAATAAATGAATGAATAAATAAAAAAATAAAATGAATAATTATTTTTAAAAAATGGGGTACCAATGAAACTTTTTTTTAAAGAATTATGGATTTATTTAACATTATTCCTTATTATTTTTTAATTTGACCAGCTAGGAGACAGAGAGAAAAAGGGAACGTGAGAACACAAGCCACCAGGTCTGGGACTTGAGCCATGGTCGGCCATATGGGAATCCAATTTCTTAATCTCTGCCACCTGCTGGCCCTATCTTTTTTTTTTTTTTCCCCTTAGTTTTTTGTCTTAGCCACACACACAGGCACTCAACAGAGAGAGACAGAGAAAGAGAAAATGAGAAATGACCCCCTATAGGGGTGGCCACACTACAGGCTCTTCTCCTCTATTCTCTTTTTAAAATTTTGGATATGCACACACATGTGCCCAGCTTGATTTTCAAGTTGCCAGGTCTGGGACTCAAACTGTAGTTAGCCATGTGAGAGTCTAGCACCTTTGCCATCATGCCACTGCCCCTGAAACTTTCTTTTTTAAAGTAAGGATCTTGGCTGTGTGAAAATTTTCCTGTCTTAGTCTGTAGAATTACTGCAATTATAGGTGGTCACCACCCCATCTGGCCTTTAGATTAGACCAGGTAGCGAACCAGGGTTTCTCATAAGATCTCAGCCTGTGGCATAGCATCTTAGCTTCTAAGGGAAAACTTCCATTGGTGAGGACAAGAAAGAGAGGAGACTATTTTGGGGACTATTGCAAAAAATCCAGATGAGAGATAATAAGTCCCTGAATTAAAGTAGTGTAAGCAGGACAAAAACAAGTGGCAGACTTGGGAGTCAACGTTACAGTAGAGTAGGTATGATTTGATGACTGATAGAAGAAAGGAGCGTCAGATTTTTTCCGTTCTAGTTTAGAAGGGGTAATGTTGCCCTGGGAGAGTGGAGTTATTGGCTGGAGGGAAGGATGAGGGAGAAAACTCAGTATGTATTTGACCACTTCTATGCATAGAGCATATTTAAGTTCCATGTTCATAATTCTCTTAAGTGACTGCATGAAGTTTTCTATATTTCATTTGTCTAATCCTAACATTTCATTAGTAGTAAAGGACCATAAGCGAGTTAAATATCTTCACTGAAAAATAAGTCTGAGGTTGAACAACATTGTGGGTTTCTCTGTAACTCTGCAGATCCAGAATGAAGAGAGTGTGGTGCTTTTTCTGGTGGCGTGGACTGTGACAGAGATTACTCGCTATTCCTTCTACACATTCAGTCTTCTTGACCACTTGCCATACTTCATTAAATGGGCCAGGTGGCGATGTCTTGCAGTTTAGTGCCTTGCTGTCTTTTGCATGCTTCTTTTGTGTGCCACGCTAACAGCAGACAATGACAGTTTGTGTTTTAGCCCCACAATGTGACAATGCTGTTGTTTTGAGTATTGGCCACCCTATGACCTGTCATTTAAAAGCTTAATACGATGGTCAGAGACGAATCATATTACTGTATATTTTGAGTGAAATCAATGCAAGATTGATTGGCCGTTTATTTTTCTTTGAAAGCACAGTAAACATTTTTCAGAATTACATTAAATAAATTGTGCCAAAAATGCAATGTTTTATCTGATTGATTTAATTTACTTTAATATTCAACCTAGCAGCTACACTTTCTAGTATTTTATATATGCAATACTTTTTTTTGCTTCGAGTAGCAGAAACAGATATTTTAAAAAGTCACATTTACTTGAAATTGTATTATTTGGAATGTAGACAACATGCATATTTCAGGGTTATAATTTATTTATCCTATGTTCGCAGTTTTTAAAGCAAATGATGTCCTGTTCTTTGAGAAGCTTAAATTTTTTGAGCAACTGATATTTTACAAAGTTATTATGTAAAATCAAAACTGCTCTTCAAGGAACAAATAACAAGCGAGTGTAGATTTGCTTATTTTGTTCTCTGTCTGATCTGTTAGTGGCCGTAACAGTTACAATAATGACAAACGTTGGGTGCCTGCTGCACACCTGAAGTGCAGGTTTGAACAAAACCAAGTGTCCCCTTAAAGACCAAAAGTGAAAAAAACAAACAAACAAACAAAACTAATGGTTATGTTGTATGTCAGGTGGTAATAAATGCAAAATGTATATCCCATATATGCAATTAAAAAGGGTAAAATAATTTCTTACTTTTTAAAAAATTTTTAGAAAGTTTTTTTGTTGTTGTTTTTATTTTTTTTATTTTTATTATTATTATTTTTTTTGCTATAAGGTATATATGTTCACCAGAGAGACAGAAAGCAAGAATCTTGGGGGGATGGCCATGCTACAATCCCTTCTATTCTCCTCTCAGGATTTTGGGCATACGTGCATAGGCACCCGGTGTGATTTCAAGCCACCAGGTCTGGGATTCTAAATGCAGTCAGTCATGTGGGAGTCCAGCAATATAACCATGATGCCATCTGCTGGCGCCTTAACATTTTTTTTTTTAAAGGTTTTTGCCATAGGGAGCATGCTCTTGCTGTAGGGAGGAGGAAAAAAGAGAGAAAGTGAGAAATCAACCCCCTGGCGGGTATGGCCACACTGAAATCTCTCCTCCATTCTTCTCTCAGGATTTTGGGCACACACACACACACACACACACACCCACCACAAACGTGCCCAGTGTGATTTTCAAGCCGCCGAGTCCGTGACTCGAACTGCAGTTGGCCATGTGGAACTCCAGTGCCTTAACCGTCATGCTACCTGCTGGCCCCTACATTCTTAACATTATTTTGTTGGAGTAGTATGTTTTCATTCTAAAAAGTTCAAACAATACAGATAATACAGATGTAGAATAACACTAAGTTTTTGTGTATTCCTACCCAATCTACTCGCTTCTCCTGGAGGGAAAAACGATTTGAAGTTTATTCAATCTATGCCTTTTTTTTTTTTTTAAGAGAAATTTTTGCCATAGGGCACATGTGCTTACCAGAGAGACACAGAGCGAGAAACAGAAAGAAATCACCCCCTAGGGTGGATGGTCACGCCACAATCCCTACTCCATTCTCCTCTCAGGATTTGGGGCACACATGCACATGTGCCCGATGTGAGTTGAACCACTGTCGGCCATGTAGGAGTTCAGTGCCTTACGCACTACACCACCAGCTGGCCCCCTAATCTGTGCTTTTTAAACATTTAACTGGCAAAAGAATGTAAAATTATCTGTTGAAAATAAAGTTCTGTGACTTTTGCTTTATAAAAATTCCAAAACCAAATCTATATTGTAAATATGTACAATGATTAAACGTAAATAAGAAGTAAATAAAAATATTTTATTTATATTTTGTTTTTTTTCCTAAATAGTACAATCACATTTTTTTAAATGTTATTTATTCACTGATTTATTTTAATTTGACCAGAGAGAGACAGAGAGAGCGTGAGAGAGGGAAAGCGAGAAAGCAAGCCACCAGGTCTGGGACTCAGAACTGTGGTTGGCCATGTGGGAGTGTCCAGCACCTTAACCACCATGCCACCTGCTGGTCCCCAGTACAAGCACATTTTGATCCAGTTCTTTAATTCTTCACATCACAACATTGCATAGTATGACTGAACCACTTCTCTATTGCTAGAATTTAGATAGTTCCTAGTCTCCTAATATTATAAACAATGCTTTGAGCTATCATAAACAATGTTATATCTATATTTCCATTATTTTATCTCTCTCTCTCTTTTTTTTTTTTTTTGGAGAGGTTTTTGCTATAAGGCACGTGTGCTCACCAGAAAGACAAAGAAAGACAGAGAGACAGAAGGCGAGAAATCACCCCTCATGGGGAATGGCCACGTTGTAATCCCTTCTCCTTCATTCTCCTCTAGGGATCTTGGGCATGCATGCACACACACACATGCCTGGTGTGAGTTTAAGCCACTGGGTCCGGGACTCAAATTGCAGTCGACTACTTGGGAGTCCAGCGACAGCCCGTTACGCCAACTGCTGGTCCTATTTCCATTATTTTTAAAGACTGATTTATGTTAATACATTTTAAAATTGTTCAAGAATAATCCTCAGGTAGTGTAAGATGTGTTTTAAATCCCCATATATAAAAGCCTTATATTTTTTTCTCAAGTTGTTACTCCTTTTTTTTAATTTGCCAGAGTGCAGATGCACTCAACAGAGAGAGAGAAAGAGGGAGAGGGAGAAAGCACCCTCCAGTGGATTGTGATCACACCGCAACCCCTTCTCTCCCATTTCTCCAGTCTGTCAGATTTTAGGCATGTACACACATGGACCCAGAGTGCTTGCCAAGCGTCTAGGGCCAGGATTCAAACCCTGTAGTTGGCCAAATGGAATTCAGCTCCCTTAACCACCAAGAGATGGAGCTGGTGCAATTATTCCTGGTGTTTTTTTTTTTTAATATTATATATAACTCTTGCATTATACATGTTTAAATAAGATATACTATATAAGCCAGAAGCAAGGAAAACAAATTTACCTATAACCCTTCTACACAAAGAAGATCTCTGTTAATTGTCTTTCATATTCTTCAGACTTTTAAAATATCCTTCAGCTCTTTTTTAGACATCTGTGGCTTATCATTTTGCATATAATAAAATGCTTTAAAGTTCTAATTTGAGCTTAAGTATGTTGTCTGCCAGAAGAAGGTTGCATTGCCGTCTTTATGCATCTGATTTTATTATTGTATGTGAAAATGTATTTAATGTATTTACTTTCAGTGATTGGACCTTTTGAAAAGTGGGCAGTTTTGAATGTAGGCTGGACCTGAATTCTCAAATGCACATCAGTACTAGTTTGTGTGACAGTCTTCTGGGCCTCTAGTGCTTTTAAAAATACTAATTCCAGATATAGTCTCTTTTTATGTGCTACATCTATAAAAATTTTTGTTTGAAGAAAATAACATTGCACATTGCCTGTTTTCCTAAGGTCAGACACATTAATTACTCTTTAATATTCTATCTGCATTTCGGAAAGCATTTGCATGTCTTGGATTTCTGGAAAAGTTTAAAACTGCCACTGCATGTTTAAATTTGCTGTTTAGAAATGTTTGTCGATTGGTTTCATGTTGTTTCAAGGTATTATATATAAAATCTTTAAATTTTGAAATGCCTGTGTTAACAGTACATCATGCCTGTTTATCATAATCGTGAGTAACTTAAGTCTCGCATCCAAAAAATCATAAAAGTCTCAGTCACTGAAATATATTTGCCAACTCTGTTAAGTAACCTTAAATAATATTTGTATTTATGTTCAGGTGTTGAAGCTATTCTTTGCAAATAAACTCTCACTTTGAAAATGACTTCTTGGGGCCAACAGATAGGATGGGGGTTAAGCTGGCTGGTTCCCACATAGCCAACTCCATAGTTTGAGTCCTAGGCGGGAGGCCTGAAAACACATTGAGTGTGTGTGCATGTGTGCCCAAAATCCCAAGAGGAAAATGGAGAAGGAACAGATAGCATGGCTATCCCCCCTGGGGAGGGATTTCTCTTTTCCCCTCTCTCTGTCTCTCTCTCTCTCTCTGGCGAGCATACATGCCCTATAGCAAAAAATCTAAAAAAAAGAAAAGAAAATGGCTTCTTATTTATAAATAGCCATGGCCTACTATCATGGATTGAATATAATTTTTATTTTATTTACATATTCAAAGAGCTCCTAGAAAAGTATACAGAATAGATCATTGTAAATTGAGTTATGTTTTCATATTGATTTCCATTTTAACTACAAAAATATATTCTTGCCAAAAAAAAAAATTGAGGTCGACAATTGAGAATCTTCAAGAAAGTACTGTCTTTCTGAGTGTGGTTTGTAGACAGTTAAGTCTTCCATATTGCCAACGGATCTTAGAGAGTTAGTGACATGAAACCGTTTTCAAGTACAAGTTATATCATTTGTTTCCCACTTATAAGAAATTTTCATGGTCTTTAAGGCTTAAAACTAGTTTATTCTAGGAGTGGAACTTTTATTTATTTATTTATTTATTTATTTACTATTAAATAATGATGCTACCAAGAAAATTCAGAGCCACAGAAACCATCAATTTGGATATTTCATTGGAGCTGGGAATATAAAATGTTATGTGATTTAACAAACTGAGAAAGGGAA